CCGCCGACCCCCGCCCCCCGTAAACCCGACCCCCTCCACATGTGGCAGCCACCCCTGGGGGGGGGGGAAGGACCCTTGATTTCTGAAAAAAACATTAATTGTCAGGGAATGTGCGGCGTCGGTGCGCACCCCACAGTTTTTTTTTTTTTTTCCGGGTCCGGGTGTGCCCACAACTGACCCCTGGAACCGTCGGGGCCTCGGGCCTGGGGGTCGACAACCCTGGTCATCAGCACCCTTGTAAAATCCCCACAGACCATTCTCTTTCACATGCGTGTGTATGTTCAAGTTCGACAATCGTGTTTTTGTTAGTCGACGAACGTCGTCATTGTCTGTGGAATGTAATTGGGTAATAAGTTGAGCCTCCATGGTTTGTGATCTCCGACAGTTAGTTAAGTCTGCGATGACGTCAAAATCTAATTTTGAAACAGTGCATATCCCACATACACCGTATTTCACCGTTGCGATGACACATCTCTCAGGGTAGTCTTGAATGTAACTCAATAGGAATGAGTGCACTGTTATCTCTCCCCACCGTTCATCGTCATAAGCAAATCTGTCGTGCGACGCTTGCTTTGCAGCTTGCAACACGACAGAAAGTGCTGAGTGCAATATGACGCCCTTGCATTTTCTGAACGCGGAGCTTTGCAAAGCCCAGCCTTTGTCGCGTGGGCAGTGATGGAGGACAGGGAGATATGCAAGAAGTGTCGCATCATGCGCATGGTCACCTATTGACATCATTAATGGATATGTCATCTGTTTCTGCCGTCCATCTACATATATTTTGTCAGAATACAGACAAACAGGCACCACATACCGTGTTTTGCCAATTTTATCTACACTATTTTCCGCTCTAACGACTGTCTGTCCGTAATGCCACAAGGTACCTGACCAAGCACTGTTTATTGTTCGTTGTACTTCGGGGTGTTGCACCTCAGGGCACGACACCGTTTGCATACTTTCCATCGTTGCTTTGAGCAATGACCTGAACATTGTATGCCAATCTCGGTACCACATGATGACATGTGCATTTGATGGTCAGTCCTTACTCCTAAGATTTATTTCCTGCCACCCGTTCGTCCATGCCTAGCTGCTCGTCCACCGTAAAAAGTCTCGGCTATTGCGATAGACGATTTCATGTGGCGAGAATCTTGGATCTGTCATTACTGACAAAAGAGCGTCGATGTCGTGCAGCGACATCCCTAAGACACCCCTGGAGGACAGCATGATTGCAGCGAGTCTGCGCGATGTGTCGAATGATCGCACATCAAGTGGATCTGCATCTTCAGAACCACAATCAAGTTCCGCATTGACTTTTTCATTCACAATGTTGTTACTCCCCCCGTTGTCATCCAGTGCAGCATCCTCCCGTGCGGGGATATCGTTCTCTGCGTGTTCGTCGTCATCATTCATTCTACGAGTCATGGACGAGGGACATGCTCTCGCTTTATGCGAGTTCAGTGTCCTTAATGACATAAAAGGACGACCGCATTCACACACCATGCGCTCGTCCATCGTGTGCACTGTCTTTTTTAAAGGATATAAGATCTCGTCACACCGGCAACGTGAAGCGCGTTGCAGCTCAGAAAATGTGAGACTTATTACTTGTCGTCGCTCCTCATTGCGTTTATTTTGTGTTTCACAACACACACAATAAGAAAAGACACGTTCAACATTATATACACACGTCTCCGTCACGTCCATGATTCGTTTGTTTATTCATAAACACAACTCACTGTAATAAATTTTTATTTTTATTTTATTTTATTTTATTTTTTCCAATTATTTCATCAAGTGTCCATTCTTTTTTGCGTAATATATCACCGCAGTACGGAGCACCATACCACCCACATGATGAAGAGAGAGAGAGAAAGAGAGAGAGAGAGAGAGAGATAGAGAGAGAGGACTTAGGAACCAAATTGTCTAATTGCAACATTTGAACATAGTTGGCAACCAATGTGTCACTTATGGTGGAATACGACAACAATCTGTTAATACACGACCCCGACCTCTCAACGATATCGTCACGGATGTATGTGGAAGGCCGGTCTGTAAATGTGATGCAATTTGAGCAATAAAGACATAAAAAACCTCACATTTGTACAAGGTTGGGAAGTGGGTGTCACTTACGTCGTAATATACCAACAACGTCTTCATATATGGCCCCTACTTTCCAACCACGTCGTCACAAGTGTGCATGACAATGATAGAGTAAAAACAATAACAGAGAGAGAGAGAGAGAGAGAGAGAGAGAGAGAGAGAGAGAGAGAGAGAGAGAAAAAAAAAAAAAAAAAAAAAAAAAAAAAAAAAAAAAAACAAAAAAAAAAACCTAGGAACCAAATTGTGTAACTGCAACATTTCAACACAGTTGGCAACTGGGTGTCACTTATGGCGAAATACGACAACAACATGTTAATACACGGCCCCGACATCTCAACGATATCGTCACGAATGTATGTGGAAGACCGGTCTGTAAATGTGATGTAATTTGAACAATAAAGACATAAAAAACGTCACATTTGTACAAGGTTGGGAAGTGGGTGTCACTTACGTGGTAATATACCAACAACGTCTTCATATATGACCCTCACTTCCCAACCACATCGTTACAAGCGTGGGTAACAATGATACGCTCAAAACAATAACAGAGAGAGAGAGAGAGAGAGAGAGAGAGAGAGAGAGAGAGAGAGAGAGAGAGAGAGAGAGATGACGTAGGAAACAAATTGTGTAAATGCAACATTTCAACACAGTTGGCAACAGGGTGTCACTTATGGCGGAATATGACAACAACATGTTAATACACGGCTCCGATATCTCAACGATATCGTCACGAATGTATGTGGAAGACCGGTCTGTAAATGTGATGCAATTTGAACAATAAAGACATAAAAAACGTCACATTTGTACAAGATTGGGAAGTGGGTGTCACTAACGCCGTGATATACCAACAACATCTTCATATATGGTCCACACTTCCCAACCACATCGTCACAAGCGTGGGTGACAGTGATACGGTCAAAACAATAAAAGAGAGAGAGAGAGAGAGAGAGAGGGAGAGAGAGAGAGAGAGAGAGAGAGAGAGAGAGAGAGAGAGAGAGAGAGAGAGAGAGAGAGAGAGNAGAGAGAGAGAGAGAGAGAGAGAGAGAGAGAGAGAGAGAGAGAGAGAGAGAGAGATGACTTAGGAACCAAATTCGGTGACTGCAACATTTCAACAAAGCTGTCAACTGGGTGTCACTTATGGCGAAATACGATAACAACATGTTAATATACAGCTCCCACATCTTAACGATATTGTCACTAATGTAGGTGGAAGGGCGGTCTGTACATGTGATGCAATTTGAACAATAAAGACATAAAAAACCTCACATTTGTACAAGGTTGGGAAGTGGGTGTCACTTACTGCGTAATATACCAAGAACGTCTTCATATATGGCCCCCACTTCCCAACCACATCGTCACAAGCGTGGGTGACAGTGATACGGTCAAAACAATAACAGAGAGAGAGAGAGAGAGAGAGAGAGAGAGAGAGAGAGAGAGAGAGAGAGACAGAGAGAGACAGAGAGAGACAGAGAGAGAGAGAGAGATGACTGAGGAACAAAATTGTGTAACTGCAACATTTCAACATAGTTTGCAACTGGGTGTCACTTATGACGGAATACGACAACAACATGTTAATATACGGCCCCGACATCTCAACGATATCCTCTCGCATGTATGTGGAAGGCCGGTCTGTAAATGTGATGCAATTTGAACAATAAAGACATAAAAAACCTCACATTTGTACAAGGTTGGGAAGTGGGTGTCACTTACGTCGTCATATATCAACAACGTCTTCATATTTGGTTCCCACTTCCCAACCACATCGTCACAAGCGTGGGTGACAGTGATATGGTAAAAACAATAACAGAAAGAGAGAGAGAGAGAAATATGACTTATGGCGGCTGACGACAATAACATATTAATACACGGCCCCGACATCTAAACGATATTGTCACGAATGTATGTGGAAGGCCGGTCTGTAAATGTGATGCAATTTGAACAATAAAGACATAAAAAACCTCACATTTGTACAAGGTTGGGAAGTGGGTGCCACTTACGACGTAATATACCAAAAACGTCTTCATATATAGTTCCCACTTCCCAACCAAATCGTCACAAGCGTGGGTGACAATAATACGGTCAAAACAATAACAGAGAGACAGAGAGAGAGAGAGAGTGTCCTAGAGTTTTCTGTGTTTCGAATGTTCTTCCTTTGAATGTCCTCCGTTCATCGCAGCATCGATAGTGTCGTCTGTCGTGAGAAAGAGTCGGCGTTTTGGTTGTGTATTTATAATTGCATATGTTGTTGATATTGTAGGATGCTTGGTTCCTCCGCATGAAGTGGCAACTGGTCCATGTATGATGCAACTGAGGTTCATACCCCATGACATTGATGTCATAAGAATGGTCTCCTTATGCAGGAGAACAAACCATGATTTTCCTGTGTGACGCTATTGTTTGTCGTTTTCCATGCAGGACATATCTGCCTTAACGCCTGCGAACTGAAGAGACCCGTCCGGTGTTATTGCCTTGTCCACAACACGTATCAACAGGTGTGGTTCTGCGAAAATACGTGTCAATCTTAAGATTGCATGACACCACCCTTTCGGGGCTTGGCCACCACCACACTCAATGTCCCAATAAAAGAGTCGTATTCGTCACCCTCCTCGTCATCGCTGATATCACTGTCACTCACTCCCACCTCCCATGACGTCGGTTTCTCATCATCCCCTGTCTGTGAATTGCAGTTCTCACTAGTTCCGCCGTTTGCATGCACTCCCTAGAATGACACTTGTTCGTCTCCTTCGATAATCTCATGTGAAGGACGATTGGGTGGTAATCTCCACACTCTGAATGCATTATGGACACTCAACGTATCCGCAGTAGGAATCGTCAACGAGTTCTGAATCGTTGTTAGAGATCTCACGCTACTTGTAGTCTGCAATGTGCTATCTGGCATATGTTGTGTCGCATTGCTTGCTTCCCCAACAACCAATTGTCATCCTTGCATTCTTTTCCTCATTCTCACCACTTCCATTGATGCCATGGTGAGGTCCTCCAGGACTATGAATATGTTCCCCTGACATATTGGAGTCCCCGACACTAGTTGAAATTCATCCTTTGTGCTCTCGACATCAACAACCTCTGTTGCTGCTATTGCGTCCTCTGTCACCTCGTGTAAGGCATCGTGAATCAAATTTGTATCATTATCTGTCTTCCTCATGAAATCCTTAATCTGGTCGAGCAAGACATACTCGACATCGTTCACCACCACTGTTGCCAAATCATGGTAGTCAATAGGGTCTATTTGAGGTAGCTCGTTCATCTTGTTGAGTGCCAATATCTCCGCTGCATTAGTCTTCAATATGTCATCCGCTTCTGTCTTCAACATTCGAGCTTCCTTCGCCCGAGATGTGACAAACTTCTTGAACGCCGATCTGTCGTAAAAACCGGCTCCCTCTCTCTTACTCTTGTCGATGTCTTCGTCATCGCACATCCATTCCACAACTCGCTTAAGGGTGTACGCAGAGCAAGATGCCAACGTCTCCTCTTCAGCCACGTACGCACTTTGCTGTAAGCAATGCAGCAACTGCTGCGCTCTCATCGATTTGTCTCCGTTTGCTGCTATTGACCTTTGGATGTCCAAGGTGACGTTGAAGTACGCCAGTGCTCTTTCGCGTAATAGTCTCTGCTCGTCCTCATTGTCATAGTGGATTCCCTCTGTCACGTAGTTCATCACCTCTCTCTCAACTCTCTCCACTTGTTCCGCCGTCATCGCCATCATTTTCCTATCTTTTTCTGTGTTCGTCTGTCAGTGCAACGACAACAGTGACGTTAAGTCCAAAGACGGGGGGGGGAAGCACAAAATGGCAAAGATGGAGATTTTGACCTCTAAACAAGACCCTTAAAGGGACTTACTCTCTCTCTCTCTCTCTCTCTCTCTCTCTCTCTCTCTCTCTCTCTCTCTCTCTCTCTCTCTCTCTCTCTCTCTCTCT